TCCTGCATTGCAGGCAGATTCTTTACCACTGAGCCACCAGAGGTCCTGCATTTTAATTCATTTAAGAGACATTTATTAAGCACCTACTATGAGAGGAGCTCATCCTTACTAGTCCTAACATCTTTGTGGACACAGGCTAAATTAAAAAGTCTAAAAATGACAAGGCAGCTGGAAAAAAAGGCTGAGACAAGAAATGGTACCTTTGTTTATAGATTAAATGTCCTGAAAGATAGATCTACACCTTCGTAGCAAAGTTTTAAAATACTGCTCATGAAAATAAAATTAAATTAAATTAAATACTGCTCATGGTCAAATCAGAACAAGGCAGCATGATCCCGTGGTTCAGAGGATGAATCTTGAGCACGATTGTAGCCATTCAAATCTAGTCTCATTAAAATGTCACATGAGGCAGGTAAGAGGTTACTTGTATGAAAGCTTTCTTAAATGTAAAATTTGAATAACAGTAATACCTACCTCATAGGACTGGTGGGAAGATTACATAAGCTAACATCTGTAAAGCTCTTAGAATAGATCCTGACACTGAATAAATAATCAATATGCATGTGTGCTAAGTTGCTTCAGTCATGTCCAACTCTTTGGGACCCTGTGGACTATAGCCCACCAGGCTTCTCTGTCCCTGGAATTCTCCAGGCAAGAATTCTGGAGTGAGTTGCCATGTCCTCCTTCAGGGAATCTTCCCAACCCAGGGATCAAAACTGTGTCTCATGTCTTCTGCATTGGCAGGCAGGTTGTTTACCACCAGCCCCACCTAGGAAGCCCTAGTAATCACTATATGGTAGCTCTTATTATGAAGTTGCTATTATTAGTTGGATATCAAGTAAATGCGACTTTCTCTCTGTTAACTAATTTGAAATTCCTTTATCTCCAAAATTAAAAAAAAATAAAATAAAACTTCTTTGGAAGCATCTAACTGCTGCATCTATTTTAGCACTCACAAAAGATGCCATTCTATAAAAAATAATTTTATTATATTCACTACCTCTGACATTAGTCTTTTTATGAACATAAATCATGTGTTCCATGGAACCAAATTTAAACAAAACAAAAACTGGTTTCTCATGTTATTCTATAGCCTATGGAAGAAAATACAAACCTTCCCTTTTTCATCTTTCTTTAAATGTTTGTGAAATTGTGTGAAAATACAAACTCTTTCCTGAAAGTGGATTTGTATGTATATCTTATCAAAAGAAAATTTTTTTCACAGGGTACTTTTAGAACTTCTTTTCCACTTCTAAAAGCAAACTGCCTCTGTAAATCCAATGCTTTATAAAATGACACTAGAGCATTCCGAGCAAGAAATGCACTCCCTCTCTGGCTGAGTCAGAGAAGCCCTCTCCTAATGAAGACTCTGGCGCTGGTTGTGAACTGCCAAAGGCTTCCTATTCTAACACATTCTGCAATATTAGTGATAAACCCAAGTCCGAGGCACCAAGACCCTCCGAGAGTCCTCATCACAGATGGTAAGAAGTCAGGGAAGAGTAGGCATGAAGGGAAGGAGCAGCACTTCTTTTCCTTTCAGGGACAGAGCTCTGCCTCTAGTAACTCTCACAATAGTCAGAGTTAGGGGACTACATCGGGTATCCACAACCAGAAAAAGGCAAATGGAAACAAAAGAAAACACCTTACAAAGTACATCCATTTAGAATCTATCCTAAGTCATCAAAGCATACACACACACACACACACACACACACACACACACACACTCATTTAGCCTGTGCAGGCTGCCATAACAATACCACATATTGAACGGCTTAAACAGAAATTTATTTCTCATTGTCCTGGAGGCTGGGAAGTTTAAGTTCAAGCCAACAGATTCAGTGTCTGGTGAGGAACTCCTTCCTGGTTCTTTTCCTGCATCCTCCTCACAGAAAGAGCAAGGGAGCCCTCTGGGGTCTCTTCTTTAAGGACACGAATCAAATTCATGAGAGATTAACTTCTTTTTCACTTCTAAAAGCAAACTGCCTCTGTAAATCCAATGCTTTATAAAATGACACTAGAGCATTCTGAGCAAGAAATGCACTCCCTCTCTGGCTGAGTCAGAGAAGCCCTCTCCTAATGAAGACTCTGGCACTGGTTGTGAACTGCCAAAGGCTTCCTATTCTAACACATTCTGCAATATTAGTGATAAACCCAAGTCCGAGGCACCGAGACCCTCCGAGAGTCCTCATCACAGATGTTAAGAAGTCAGGGAAGAGTAGGCATGAAGGGAAGGAGCAGCACTTCTTTTCCTCTCAGGGACAGAGCTCTGCCTCTAGTAACTCTCACAATAGTCAGAGTTAGGGGACTACATCGGGTATCCACAACCAGAAAAAGGCAAATAGAAACAAAAGAAAACACCTTACAAAGTACATCCATTTAGAATCTATCCTAAGTCATCAAAGCGCGTACACACACACACACACACACACACACACACACACTCATTTAGCCTGTGCAGGCTGCCATAACAACACCACATATTGAACGGCTTAAACAGAAATTTATTTCTCATTGTTCTGGAGGCTGGGAAGTTTAAGTTCAAGCCAACAGATTCAGTGTCTGGTGAGGAATTGCTTCCTGGTTCTTTTCCTGCATCCTCCTCACAGAAAGAGCAAGGGAGCCCTCTGGGGTCTCTTCTTTAAGGACACGAATCAAATTCATGAGAGATCCACTCTCATGACTGAATCACCTCCCAAAGACCTCACTTCCTGATACCTAGTACCTCCTAGTACCATCACACTGGGGGTCAGAGTTTCAGCATATGAATCTGGGGACATAAACACTCCATCCACTGTACAAACTCATATACACACGCATGCACACACACATACAAAGTTCCTAAACTAGAATTACCAAGCAATACCTTGATTAAAGAGCAAATATTTGCTGGATAAAATAAAATATGATATGGTACAGCAATAGAATTTTTGTGTGTAAAAAGGTTAAATATTTTAGTACCAACATGGTCTTCATTCCTTCAAATAAAAGTTTAAGAAATATAACATAAAAGATTGGCACTTTCCAATCTGGTATATGATCACACACAGAAAGGTATCAAGTTCAGGGTATATGAATGCAGATTTAGTTGCAATAACATTTTACTACTAAAGATATTCTTACCAAAGATAGAAGCAATAAATAAGTATGAGACAGAGATGCATCATATTCCTCATCAAGCTTTGAGGAGGGCTACGATGCTTCCACAGAGTACTCTGCTTCCTAAGAGGAAAACATGGGGACAATCACGCCTCTCTCTTAGCTTTCTTGAAAGGTTAAATGATGTATATTGCAAAAGTCAACACACAGAGTCTGACGTTTATTCCTGCCAATTAACAGTATTTTGCCTCCTTTCCTAAAGGCTACTCCAAGACCTACTTGTATGAGGATGGACAAAACCATGACATTTTGCTGAAGCAAAAGGGCATTGGGACATGAATCTGACGAAGACAGACTTAGGGCCCAGCCTGTATCGATATTGTTTACCGTGACCTCCTCAGGCACCCACAGAGCAGTCCTGAGAGGAGCAGAACTTTCGTCAGTATTCTCCCCACTAGTTCAGGCCTGTAATTCCAGAAACCAAGGGGTCACCTTAGCCCTGAACTCTGTGGAGCCCTCCCCTCCTATAATGTGCCAAAGGGAAAAGCCCTGATATCATGTGAACACTGTGATCCTGTTACTTATGGACAGATAGGCACTTACTCCTTGATTTCTTCAGCAGATAAATAATTCTGTGGTTGCAAGAGAATGTAAAAATTTTAATGACTGTGTTGGGAAGTGATTGAAGCAAGAGTCCAAAACTGAAAATTAAAAGAAAAAGAGTTCCTTGGTCTACGAAAATGAATCATAAGAATAAAATAGATCTGGACAGTTCATAGACTTAGAAATTAGAGTCCACTCTTGTGGGTCTTTTAGAATCCAAACTACAGTTCCTTAGTTAACGCAAAAGTTCATTAATCTTTGAGTCTTATAGGTAAGGAAGTCTTTTCTTCTGAGTAATTCGCCTCCCTGTGTCCCCACTGGGTTGTATCTACATGGACACAGCTTCACAACATTCTTCCCACAGAATATGTTCCTCCATTTAAATAGTTCCCTCTCCAGATCTTCTACCCATAGTAGTCTCTGATATTCTCCGGGTAAAGATATCTTTTCTATATTCCCTTTCCTCTTGCACCATTTATCACTTTTACATATTTATGACAATTATTTGGTGTGCTCACCTCTTATTAAATTACAAGCCTCTCAAGGATAGGACTTTCAGCCTCCCAAGAAACAGATACCATGTTTTGCCCCAGCAGGCACCTAGGGAATTCTTCTTTGGGAGTAATGAAATGAATAACGTTACAGGGAGCCCATTTTAAAAATAAATTGGACCCAGGAATTGATGGTGACTCTCCTGAAACAAAGGTCTGGATGAATTGCAGAAGGGGAAAGAGAGGAGGGAAAAGACTTGTTGGAAGTGTCAGGAGCGAGCACAGAGGCTTTTTCTCTCACGGATGATAGCAAAGTTCTTAATGGAAGATGATCCCAATCAATAGAGCCAGACAGCTGATTTATATAATGGAATCACACTGAAGGAGTGGTCTTCCCCTGCAGAGCCATGTGCAGGGGAAAAGGGTAACTAGGCTAGGGAGACCAGGGGACTCCACAAGTGTATCTGCGGGTGTTCATAAATATGTTCCCCATCAACAAACCACAGGAGAGCTCCAGAGAGCAGCCTCCTTGAGCCTGGAGGCTGGAGAGTGACGGTGGGGCTGATGCGGCTGCTGTATTTTCGCTCCTGCTGCCTCCGCCACTGAACAGATACCGCAGTGAGGGGTCTGACCGCGCTGAGTGCTCTCGAGAGCCTGGGTCTGGCCAGGAGTGAGAAGTTGAGAGAGGGTTGGGAGGTGGGCAGGACTCACCGAGGAGCTGCAAACCAAAATAAGAAATCTAGGGAGCAGAAGGAGAAAAGAGAGTGAGCTGGAGCCAAGACCTCAGGCCAAGTGGAACTGGAGGAGATGTCATCATTGGTAAAGGAGGACTTGGAGAAGAAACTGTTTAAGCCACTCTCACAGAATCTGTACGAGTTTATTGAAATAGAGTTCTCGGTCCAGGACAGGTATTACCTCTGTGTGTCAGGTAATCTGTTCTTTCTGCTATCATTTCAAAATGTAAATAACCCTGAGAGGCTTAGGTGACAGAGGGGCATTTGGGGGTGTTTACTTTTTACGCAGTAACAGCACATGTATCTTCTTGTGATAGAATTTAACTATGCCAAGATAAAGAATTTGGATTTTACAGCATTTTTGTTAAGTGCTAAAATGGAAGACAAAATGTATTGTATTAATATTTTGGTTAATTGTTCAGAAATGAAACTGGGCATGTGCTTTTTCTGATCTGATTAGTCTCCAATCTTTTATTCCATTCACTTGCATGGCAGTTTTATTTGTGTACGAGCTCATTTTTAAAAATTCAACAGAAAGCTCTCTGTATATTTTTAAACATATTGGATAACTGAGTTATATGGATCTATTTCCAACCAGTCTGGAAAACTAGCATTCTCTCTTTTCATGCTGGGAAAGAATAAAAAGACCTAAGATTTTCTTCTGAGGTTTATTTAGACTTCCTGGTGGCTTATTTTGAAAAGAGGAATGATCTTTCAGAAATTCTTTCTCATAGTATGCTCACAGAAACAATATTTTAATAGTAGAAATTAGTTCATGAAGATGGAACTTTAAGGAGATGTTCTCTAAACTATTCAACTAAAATATTTTTCCTCATGTTTTAAACATTCATGAAAATTGTCCAAAGGTAGGTATAAACTTTTTCACTTAATTATGATTTACCTAACCTGTAATTATTGTGTTGAACTTAGAAATGTTTGTGCCACTATTGAATTTAATATACAGCATTTTCTTTTTATAATCCATGATTTTCAATAGTTTTCAGGGGCTTAAGGAAAGAGGTTAGAAAATCTAACTTTCATTGTCCACTTTGCTTTTTAAGGCACACATTTCAACATTTTCAGAAAGTCTATTGTATTTCCCTTCCTGATACTTTGCTTAAAAGAACTTGCAAAAGTGGTCAAGAGAGAGTACTGTAACAGAAGTTGAACAACTTTAAAGAAAGTGCTAAGAACTCTTTAAAATCCTATAATCCCTAACAGGTATACTCATGTTTACTTAATAATAAGAATAATAAGATTTATCTTATACTTTACCTAGTAAATTTTGCCAAATAAAAAGTGTGAGGCTTGGCATATCAGCAAGGTACAAAACTTCCTCAGTCCAGGAAAAAGAAAGTCAAATTATGGAAAAAGATCAAATGAAAAATTTTTAGAAACTGCATTATATTCAAACCATCAGATCACTATATCTTAAAATATTTTGACTTAATGTATTAAAGAAAATGCTTATTCCAACATAAAAATTTAATAGTTAATTTTATTCCTATTGTAATTCTTTATAAAGCTAATTACTCATCATGTAACATTAGTATATACACACATTGTTTTAAATCTTATGAAAATAAAGCAATCATAGTAATGTTTATGTATTTACCAGGAATTATTTAAATCTAATTTACTAGATGTATCTTAATGCCCCCCTCCAACAATATAATTAGCTAAACTTGTTCTATCTGGCATGGGAAAAAAAACAATCCTAGAATTAAATTTTTGGAAATGAATGTAATTTTTTCCCCCCAATACCCTCAAGTTCTGAGAAAGACACCGTGGGCTGGGGTCACTTGCTGTCTTTTTTCATAAATGACATGAATCCTTTTAATCAAGATTGGTTAAAAGGTGTTGGCATTGTTAACATGTGTGAAGGAAACCTCTTTAGGGGTCACAGTTTTCACCTAGAAAATGATCAAATAAAGTAAGTGATCATTTTCATTAGTAAAATTCAATGATTCTCTTATTTACATAAGTAAATATCTACTTATTTAATTATTTACATAAGTAAGGGAAAAACAAGATTGTCTCAGAGGTGAGGAAGAGGAGATGGTATTGTGATATTCCAGGTAAAAATTAACATTAAAATTCATTTTCATTCACCAGTTTCATGACTCTCCTCTGTATCACATCCATCAATTTGAGAGCACTTTTCCAAATGTAGCATCTCTTTATGACCATCTCATATGCATTTAGACAGAACAGTAATTTAAAATAAAGTCAGAGTGATGCTTGCTAGTTCTAAACCTTTGGCTGTGCTTTACTCAGAAAATATCTCCATTGAGAGGAATCAAACAGGCTATATCTCAATTGTGGAGGCAGATAACTCCAGATTTTGAAAGTTGGCCACCTTCTGGGAGTAGAGAGACACATAGTTATGATTTCCTCTTTATAGCCTCTAATCCAACAGTTCTAAATTTGTGAGAGCCAAGAGTCTAGAGTCGTTAAATCCCATTATACATTTCTCAGATTAAAGAAGATAAGTTTAGGTAGGAGGAGAAGGGGACAACAGAGGATGAGATGGTTGGATGGCATCACCAACTCAATGGACATGGGTTTGGGAGACTCCGGGAGTTGGTGATGCACAGGGAGGCCTGGCATACTGTGGTTCATGGGGTCGCAAAGAGTCGGACACGACTGAGTGACTGAACTGAACTGAAGACCTTAAAAGAGATCTTATGGTATAGAATATATAAAGAAATCAGTTCAGTACTATTTTATCTGATTCCATTCAAATATTTCTATTGCACTAAACCTGAAGCAAAGGCTATTGAGTATACAGTATAATACAAGTATACAGTATAATACAAATACAAGTACAGTATAATACAAAGAGAAAACCTTTGTGTTTTACATATATTATAGACAGTCACATTATCTGTATAGCATAATCATAAGACATGGAAAAGTAACTCATTCACATCCCTCTTGTACTACATGAAAAGTCAGGAAACAAATTACAAGGCAGAAAATATGTAGTTATGATATTCATTAATGACATTTCAAGAATCAGTACAATGATTCAAATATGTTTCTATAATAAAACAAAAATTTTACTATTGTCAAAAAAAAAAGAAGATAAGTTTAAATAAGTTACACTTTCTGTTTATCTGATCTGAGTCTGTCTTTTGCAGGGGTCTCCTAACCAGGTGATTGCAATTTACTGTTACCTGGATACTTGACTTCGTCAAGGTCAAAAAACAAACATTACAAATTCCATCTCCCTCTCTGTAGTTTGCTAGTACTTACCTTGGGAATTTCATGGCACCTCAGGGTTTGCATGGTCATTTTCCCTTGGAATTGGCTTCGCCTAACTCAGAATGTCATTAAGCTTGGAGTTAAAAGCAGCATCTTCTTATGAAGGAGGGAGGGGCTCTATTATGTATGGGAACAAAAAGAGACAGGTCACTTGTGCCATGATGAGAATGCAAATGAATTAAGGAAATTCTGAAAGACTTGAAATTGCATAGAAAGTATTAGCCATAATTGGATGGGAAGTAGCATTGCATGGTGGGCTAGACCTTGGAATGCTAGGAGTCAGACAGAGCTGGAGTGAAATGACTCAACTTTGCCCACCTGCCAGCTATGAAATAGGGGGCAGCACTATTACTTATTCAATTTAATATTCAGTTAATATTCAATAACACCTGCATTTGCACATGGGCTTTCCTGGTGGCTCAGTGCTATAGGACCCACCTGCAAATGTGGAAGATGGGTTCGATCCCTGGGTTGGGAAGATCCCCTGAAGGAGGAAATGGCAACTCCCTCCAGTATTCTTGGGAAAATCCATGGACAGACAAGCCTGGCAGGCTACAGTTCACAGGGTCACAAAAGAATTGGACACAACAATTAAATAACAACATTTGCACATAGTGTTCTTTCTTTTTAAAAGAATTTATTTTTAATTAGAGGATAATTACTTTACAATGTTGCATTGGTTTCACTGTAAACAGTGTGAACCAGCCGTAAGGATACATGTATCCCATCCCTCATGATCCTCCCTCCCACCCCTCATCCTGCACCTCCAGGTCCTCACAGAGCAGGAGCTGACGCTCTCTTCTTAAGTCCTAACTAGCAGAAAAGCAAACTTGATAAATTATATTCCAAATAAATAAAAGGTAGGGTTATATTGTTAAAATATATAGAAAAAATGTATTGTGAAAACATATGCTGAGATGTAGAAATATAGTATATACTGTAAATAAATACTTACAATAAAAATAAAATATACAGTAAATACATAGATGTATATTTATGGTATATAGTTTATAAATAAATTATATACATATTGCAATACAGATTATTTTTTCAGTATTCACATTTTTTGAAAAATATTCTCCATAGATAATTAATTTGAAAATAGACAGTTATTTGCTAGAATTATGAAAATAGTGTACAGAAATTCTCCATACATATTACATTTTGATGCCAAAAAAGAACTTCTCTGTGCATCAGAGAATTGAATAATTTTGCCAAATCATTTATAATATTAACAATAAATGTCAAATAAGAATGTTAACAGGAAAAATAAACAAAATACTAGAGACTAGGTGTTTTATGAAGCACAAACATTAATTTCTCATATTCCTGGGGGCTGGGAAATCCAAGATCATGGTGCTTGCAGATTCAGTGTCTAGTGCGGATCTTTGTCCTTATAGACCACTGTTTCCTCCATGTGACCTTGCAGGGCAGAAAGGGCAAGAGAGCTCTCTGGGGTCTTTTTACAAGGGTGTTAATCCCGATAACACCTCCCAAAGACCCCACCTCCTAATACCATAAACTTAACTTGAGGGTTAGATCTCAACATAGGAATTAGAGGGAACAAACATTAAATCTGTAGTACCCAGGATTACCCCCAAATCAATCTGATTAAAATATTTCTAGATAAATTATTTGAAAGCTACCTTTTGATTAAATCAATAATAACATTCTCAACAATCCCAAGACATAACTAATACATTGAAACATTTTCAGTGAGGCTTCTTGTCTTTAATATCTCATGGTAATTTCCCCCTATTACTTAATCTCAATGATGAAAGCAGTTATATAACTCTAGGATTATGAAATGATGGTAGTTTATGTGTTTAAAATATTTCTGTGCAGCTTACTTACAAGCTGCTTTTTTCCTTCTTATCTGCCAAATTATATTGGATCATTGGCCAATTTCTTTCCACTTAGCCTCCTGAATGGTACTTTTACCATGAGTGACTATTTTACTATGATAATAGAGGCAATTATTAACAACGATGTTTACTACAAAATTAAAAGTGAAAATCAATGGTTGGCATGAGGTTAAGATGGTTATTCTGAAAATGCTAACTAAAATAATAACATTGGAGTAGGTTCATTCTGAAATTCCCTGGATCTATAGCTGTCACTAAATCATAATTGGGCAGTAATACATCTGATGTCACCAAACCCAACTGTGCAACATTCTAACTATACAAACACATTTCTGTTTTAAGACGGTGTGATAAGTTGCCACTTTGCCACTGCATTAATGTGGATATGGCCACTTAATTTTAGCTAGCAACAGAGCTCAACATGGAGATGAAGGGTTGGGTCCACTCCAGCCTGAGCAGACTTCAACTCTTGGCTTAAGGCAATTCTTGGAACCTCCTGGACTACAGAGGAGATTGTTATGCCAAATCAAGGAGGATGTACTGTCTCTCTGCTACATCATTGTATCAAAAAGTTAACTTTGAAAGCATGATTGCTGTTTTCTTAGTTTGTAGTTAGTGGGACAGAAATCACTGATGTAAGAAAACTTGATAACTGGTAGATCCTACCTTCTTTTCTCTTTCTTCACTCCCTCCCTTCCACCCATCCTTGCAGCGGTCCCCAACCTTTTTGTCACCAGGGATCATTTCGTGGAAGACAATTTTTCCATGGACCGGAGCAAAAGGGGGATGGTTTAGGGATGATTCAAGCACATTATATTTATTATGCATGTTATTTCTCTTATTATGACATCAGATCCAACCTCACATCATCAGGCATTAGATCCCTGCTTTATACAAACTGCTGAAGAAAACTTTCTAAAATGTAAAGTTCAGCTTGACTGTTTGCTTAAAGTCCTTTAGTGACAACACACTCCCCTGTAAATCTCCCTACATATATAACTTTCAGGATAATATTTGAATTCCTTAGCCTAGCATTCTAGACCATTCAGGAACCAGGTCCTGCCTTCCCCATTTCCCATCACCTATTCGCCTTACACGTCATGTCAACAATGGTAAATGCCTGTGAGGACTAGAAGATTCAAGTTTCTTATGCTTCTGTGTGCATGCTGTTTCAGAACTCCCCATACCCCTTTATTCATTCTGCTAACTCCCACGGCCCTTTACAACTCAGAAAACCTGTCAGGAAGCTCTCTCAGACCCCCAGTGGGATGCAGCTGTCCCTTCCCCATGGTCCTATAAGACCTGTTCATTCCTCATTCACAGGACAGTAGTCATGTGTTTTCTTTCTGAAGCCCCACACTCTAGTCTCAGTGGGAACATGAATGGTGCCGTAGAGGAATACATTTTTTCAATGCCTAGCCCAGGACTTTGTACAAAAGGGGTACTCAGATAGTTATCAAATTAATGAAACAAATCAGTGGGTCTGCAGTTAATGAGCTGGTTATCCTAACAGGTCGATGAGACCATGAATTTGCTTCAAATGACATTTTTATACAGCATCCAGTTATTTCTCCCCATCCCCATCCTCTCCCACTTCCTAAGCAGCCAGTAAGACAGCTAGTCAGAACAAGAGTGTCATCATTTGATTCTGAGGTAAAGCCTTTGTCTGGACAGACAACTGCCTTCTAGTGGAAGCAAACACCTCTGAGAGCTTGTCCTTAGCAAGTATGACAGAGGGTACCGTGCCTCCATGTCAACTCACCAACCAAATGGCTTCTTTTCTCCTCTCTTCCTTTCTTCTTCCCAAAGCTAACACCTAGACTGGTGGAAGTAGATCTCTTTTAGGGCTGGATAAGTGCACATGAGCAGAAATCCACCAAGTTTTGCATACAATTTCAGGAGACTCACAGACTTTGAGTCAGTTTTCTTCAGTTCAGTTCAGTTCAGTCGCTCAGTCGTGTCCGACTCTTTGCAACCCCATGAATCACAGCACGCCAGGCCTCCCTGTCCATCACAAACTCCTGGAGTTTACTCAAACTCATGCCCATCGATGCAATCCCTCCTCTTCCAAACACTTGGAATGTGTGCTCTAAATCATGTCTTTAGTCTCTTCCTATTTCTTGTTCTAAACCCTACATAACATAGAAACTGGTACACAGTAGGTACTCAGGGTTAGCCAGTCCATGAAGGAGCCTTCTGCAAGCTGTCTTCTATGCTCCCCGTTATAGAGGAATTACCCTCAGGGAAGAAATCAACGATCTTCCCCAAGTCAGACTGAGTGCCAGGACTGAACTCTGCTTTTTACCCAACAAAGTGACTTCACGGGATTGTCTCCGAATCTTTGAAATTCTCTGTCCTTTTCATTTCTGTAGCATCACACTGTTGGGCTAGTCTCTTTTTTGAAGGCTCCTTCTTAGATCTCTCTGCTGGCACCTTTTTTTTCCCCTCTACTCCATCTCACCTTTTTCCTCTGCTTTTTTCCCTGTAAACCTAGTCTTGGAAAACTGACTACACAGAAAAGTCCTAAGTCTATATCTCCATTCCTAACTATCCCTATCTCCATATCTCCATCTCCTCCCAGATACTTTATGACGTACAGTCAAAAACTAAACTCACTATTCTGCCCAACCAGTCCACCCTCCACACTTTTGTGTTTTGGTTTCCATCCAGTGTTATTTCCATCAAGTGTTGTCAATGTCTCATTCAAAATCTTATTTAGATTTCCTACTTCTATTTTTACTGCTCACGTCTTATGCCTAGATTCCAACAACCTCATGAAACAAAACAAAGACAAAAACAATTACTATAAACTAGACACTATCCTACATCATTTACATACTTTAATCTTTACAGCCTGTGAGTTTGTATCATCCTGATGTCCACTTTACAACATGAGACAGCTGAGGTTTAATCTCTCTATGATTAAGTAATATGCTCAGACCACAGTGTAAGAAGTGATGTCATGATTTGAATCCAGAATGTCTAATGCCAGAGCCCACTAAGATTTACTGCCTCTTCTATGGACCTCCAGTTCCTCTTTCTTTTCTTCTTCAGTGTTCTTGGGCATCACTGATTCCAGAAAAATACTCCTCTAATGAGGTGCCACTGTATTAGTCTCTTGCTCAAGAAGAAAAGAGACTTACTGAATGTGTTACTGTATGACCTTTTACTGAACTCCTGACACAGTGCCCCCTTAGTTTTGTCAACCTGCTCAGACTCCCTTCTCTAGGAGACTGAGTTCAGGTCCATTGTGAACTCAAAGCTTAACTGGCTGCCTTAATTTCAGTATCACCTGCACTTTCAGGGGATAACTAATCTCTTCACCAGCCCTAACTCTAGAGCCCCCGGTGTCCAGGCCAAACTCCCATCCTTCCCACCAGAGGGGGGACTCAACACCACAAGTCCACAATGGTTTCTGTCACTTTGCAGAACATTTTCACAAGCTGGTTAGCCTTATCCTTCATCATGTCCTAGCACCAATCAATCTATACAATCCACTGTCTTTAATCCTACCTGGTGAAGTTCAGGGTCAATTGTCCTCTCAGTTTATTATACTGTCCTTCTCCTAGAAATGCCTTCAGTATCATCCCTGCCTTTCTGAAACCGGACTAATTTAAAAGCTCTATCTCCAACTCTCTCTTCCATAATTCTTTCCTTAACTTTTCCAATCCTCTTTCTTCTAAGAACTCCTGTTGAGCATATAGTCTGTTCCAAATTGCTGATCTATTACTGTGACTATATTGTAATACACTGTTTTCATCTTCATAACTAGGAAGCCATGCCAAAGTGATACTTTCTAGAACCAAAAGACAGTCTCCCTCAAAGACAAATTCCAGTCTCACTCTGAGGAGACAGAACCAGCCTGCAATACTCCAAGTGACATCAATCATCTTGAAAGCTTAAGATAGTCGATTCCCACTGCCACTCCTCTATGATATAATTGTGTACCTTCATAACACATATTTTATATGACATGTCTGTTAGCCTTTTCTCTTCAACAAAACCATAAGTTACCAGAGGGCAGGCAATCATTTACCCCCACTGGCAATCGTAACAGTTCTATCCGGCAAATTGTGGATACCTAGGAAATACTCCCTTGATAACTCATTGAGAACTTTCAATTCAGGAGTTCTAACATCAAATGCTGATTCTTCTAGTGTGTTCGTATGAGATCAAACTCAATGATTTTAAGGCCAGAAAATTATTTCCCTTGTGTCGTTCACATAAAATAAGCAATGCTTTTCCCCATACACTTCAAAACATAGTACTAAAGTTTTTGTCTCAGTAGTGCATTTCAAATACTAGACGTTTAGATACACTCTGGAGAAGATTAAAAACCTCAAACAAAAGCAAATATGTTAGTAAAAACTGTGTTGCAAGCAGTCCTACATCCAAAATCTCACAGCAACTTTAAAAGAAAGTGTGCATGATATTATTTGCATGCTCTCTCTTCCACAGTTGGTTGCTGGGTGAGCAGAATGGTTTACTTTCCTGACCTCATTTTCCTATATTGTCATAAATTAAAACTCTAACTTGTTCTGGTAAACACTTTGGCACTGACTGTATGCTCACGCTAAGCCTCTTATTTCCTGCCCTGAGTTGAACCCCATCCTCCACCACAAAGCTCAGAGCTGAAAGCATAGAGCTCGGTGTTCCATCTGACAGACATTACCGCGGCTGTATGTGACCACAACTGTAGCAAAAATAAAGTTAACACACTGATAGAACAGAGAGCAAATCTGAGGGAACATTCATGAGGCTTCAGATACCTCAGCGTTCACAACTAGGGTGCAGATATAATGTATGTTCAAGTTCATTATATGAAAAGGAGATACATAAATACAGAAAACTATGACTTGGTGAATAATTTATTATCTTGCAAGAGTCTATGTAAACGAAGTCTTTTTCTGTCCTACAGTGACCAAAAATGAAGAAGTAAAAATAATTATGGTGAAACACTACAGAATAGGTTTAGATGAAAAATATGAAGTAACCAAAAAGTGGTCTTTGAATGACCTGCAGATGATCGATGGAAAAGAAGCAGATACAGTAAGTGTTATGTTTTGTAAGGGAGCTATGGAATCAACATGCTGGAGATCTTGGCGGTCAATATCCTACTTAATACATTTTTGACGTATACTGGGTGTTAAGATGACATATTGTTCTTAAGGAGTACGGTTTAATCTACTGGGATGACCTACTGGTTTGTTTTCTCTGTTTCTATGAGTTTAAATTTGAATTTTGTCTATTAGATTTAAAAGCATCTTTCCCAAGTGCTTCTTAACAGGTAAAACAAAATCTTCTAGTCTGTTCTGAAACTTTAAATGTCTGACACTTTCACACCACTCTCTCCGCATCCCAACTTCCTCCACAAGTTGTGGGAATTCCTTTCCTCGCGTTCTTCAGATTTTACTGCCGGTTAGCCGCTTGATCCTCCAGAAGGACTGATAACTCTAGGAAATCCTGCAGCCTCAGTATTGAAAGTAGAGAAAGAGTGTGTAATCTCTCTCATGACCACTCGAAAGTGGTTTTCCCAGCCTCTCCTTAACTTCTGCTGATGGAAAACTCATTACCACATGAAGCAGTCCATTCTGCTTCTGAATTGCTCTCCTTTATCTTTACATGTCCTGCTTAGGTTTTATTATTTCTTTATATTTATTTATTTGGCTGTTCCAGGTCTTAGTTGCAGCATGTGGGATCCAGCTCCCTGACCAGGGATGGAACCCGGGCCCCCTGCATTGGGAGCATGGAGTCTTAGCCACTGGACCACCAGGGACGAAGTCCCTCCTACTTATATTTAACCAAAATCTGCTTCACTATGACATCCACTCATCAGTTCTAGTTTTGCCATTTGGTACAATCAGAACAAACCAAACCCTCCTTTCACATAGCAGCCTTTCCAATATTTAAAGACAATTATAAGGTTCCCTCACATTTTCTCTTTTCTGGGTTAAATGTAACCGTTCATTCTTTAAATGATGTTCATATGAAGATTAAATGAGATAATATGACAGGACCATACAAACACTAAGAGGGAATAGCACTGTTGTTATTTTGTGCAGTGACGTTGCTACAACACCTTCCACTATGCTTTTCTCTCCTCTGAAATGCTTCAGTTTTTCCAGAATTAAATACAATACTTTAGAGTTAGTATGACCTGTTTATAAATCCTTTGATCTGATTTCTTATTTCTATTAAACACTCAACTGAGCCCTCGGATCTTTTGGGCATGAATTGCCTTTTAACCTGATCTGCCATACCCTCTATGTACATAGGATAAAATGTAAATAAAGGCCCTTGATCATCTGGCTCCTTTATCTCTGGTCATTCTCCCTAAAACTTTATACAGTGAAAGTACTTAACTACTGACTCTCGGGGCTTAGAGTCCCAGTCACCTCCATCCCTCACCCCATTCTCAGATTCTCCTTGAAGTAAAGTCCTACTCATGCCCCCCAGCCCTACAATCCATTGCATTATGGATATAAATAATCCAACAAACTGCAATTGTTGGCTTACTCTGTCTCCCCTCTAATAAAAAACTGCAACTCTTACTTTTCATCTTTTATTGTAGCCTTCTGCCTAACAGGTATTAGGGACTCAAACACTTCTGTTGTCTTTGGATGAATTAGAATTTAAGCTCATCCTATCCAATGTCATACTCTTAGTTTGGTCTCCTGTTCCCATCTATAAATCTTCTAATATTCTGATTCGTTAACATTCACAGTAGTATGGTGCAGACTTAATTTGAACAACATTTAGCACTTCATTCAAGTCAATAATAAAAATGATGAAGCAGGCAGACCTAAGTATACTTTTGGGTAACTGATAGGTTATCACGGCTACTACTATTATTACCATGACTAGTAGCACTGCTACATGCGACCATCTCACACTTAGTAAATGGTTATCAGATGACAGGGACCAAAAAAGCTCTTTCTAGACGTAATTTCATATAATTATCACAACCCATGAATTAGATTCTAGCATTACTCTTGATCTATAGATGAGGAACATGAGACATAAAGAGGTTAATTGACTTGCCCAAGGTTAAAGAACTACTTTAGTGATGGAGGTAGATTTTACCTCCAAATCTATTAATTCATCTTCTTTGGACTTGTTGTTTACCATTTATACAAATTTGTGTATTTGTTCATTCACTGAGAATTTATGGTATATTAGGTCTTGCTAGGCTCTGATGATAAGTGGTAAGTTAGATGGACATAAGCACTTAATTCTGCCTTATCTAGTGTGAATATCCAAATTTTACCCTTAAGATCTTTACTGAAATCAATATATGTTATCTGCTGTTATCTTCCAGGAATCCTGTTTTTAAAATTTGGTATATTTGACAGGACTTCTTGGTGAAAGTATGCTGGATTTCATTACTTTCTTTCCTAAGTAATCACATAGCATTTTTTATGGCAAGACATTCTACCTAAACATCCAACACTTTAGGAAATAAATATTTTTGGCATGTCAATATTCTGGAACATTACATGGCCATTAAAAATCATGTTTCCAAAAGAATACCTCAGAACACATTTGTTCATCATTTAATATGTTTGTAAAAGTCACCTGATACAAAACTTTTCTATAGTATTATCTTATTTTACATATTTAATCTATCATAGTATCAAAAACTTGAAAGCTGAACCTCAAATTTTTACACAAAAATATATAGATGTGTGTATATGCATAAATGAAACTAACCAGTACTTTAGCAATAATTATCTCTGTGTGATAAGATTATTATAATTTTTAAATTCTGATCTTCTTTATACTTTTATATATTTGCTGAAAGTTCTGTATTGCATTGAATTTTATCAGAAATCAATGTCAATTTCATTAATATGTAGTTTTAGGGATTAACCATTCCCACTTTTCTTTACCATTTTCTTCTTTTGTTGTAAGTTCTCAAATATTTACTGATGTCATAATTATTTTCTACGAGCGTGGTCAGTACCCAGGAATGTATTAATCAAGCCTGTCAACCCAGATACATTGGAAGCAGCTAACTCTGCTCTATTTTATCCTCACCTTTCTGGCATTTAATTTCATCTCGATGTTGTTGATTCTTCCTTTTCACATTTGAAGATCATGATCTTTCATAGTGAACTAGATAGATACACAAGAAAATTTGAGTATTTCTAGTTTTCTCATCTCTTTAGGACCTAAAATATTAAACTGTCAGAAGAAAACCTGTACTATCCAAAGTGTAGTTCTTTTAAATACTTCTTTCCTGTGGATGAAGTAAAAATATCTCTATTGTTCTGGGAATTTCCAGTTCTCTTCCCTCTTGTAATTGAATCCTCAGGAGTCAGCATTTATTATATTTTTCTCAATAGCAATGATATAGTTTTAAAGAGAGCTGTTTCAAGCCAGAAAGTTGTCAGCTTTAAAATGGAAGGGAATTGATACTGAAGTCAATTTATATTGCAGAAATAAAAATGATGGGGGACTAGGAGACTGTTGTGGTGCAACAGGAGAGAGGATGATGTAGCAAGAAATGGTGCTGGGCTGATTGAGAGCTTGGTTCTCACCTTGGCTCTGCCAATAACTACATGTGTGGCCTGGGCTTTAACCCTCTGGAAACTATCATTCACAATTACAGTACATTATATTATAATCTATTATAAACAAGAGATTACAGAATTAAACTATGAGATTCCCTTTTAGCTCTATCAAAAGAAAGAGAGAGAAAGGGGAAGAGGGAGAGAGGAAGGAAGGAAGCAGGGAAGGCAAGGGAGGGATGGACAGACATGTATTCTATGTTCATGCCTGCTTAGGCTTCAATGATTAGGCTAATGGAAAAACTTAATCCTCTCCAAGTATTTCAAAAACATAAAGCATATTTTCTACATGACAAGGAGCAAATGGTTCTGTGAGGAAACTACGTAAGAAGTGTGATTACTATCTGGTGATGGAATGGGTGTGATTTCCTTTCATTGAGATTCTCTGCACAAGTGTCTTTCAACTGGCAATTATGACAGTTAGGAAACATTTTGCAAGGTGTGAGTTGGGGAAATGTGCTTAAAGTCACATCACTCTTGTACATTCTTTAAATATTGCTTTGTTTTTAAAAAATTGTAATAGTGCAAAGCAAGGTGGTATTACTACCAGTATCATAATCTCTGGTGGCAGATCTGGGAAAAGGAACTATCATTCATTAAGCTTATTAAGCTCCATTCTAGTGTCACAGTTTATATGATTAACCTCGTGTAAACTTCATAGCAACCCTATCTAAAAGGGAAGGCCAAATCTGATAAGGATCTTGCCCGTGGTTATATCAGAGTTAGAACAGTGGTCTAACTTTAAAACCCTTGTTCTTTTTCCTGCCTGTTGCAAGAATTTTCCTATTTAAAAAAAAAATGCAATATATAAGTTGTTTATAAACTTTGCACACTGTACAGTAACAAATTATTAATACTGTTGTTTGGTTTTGTCTCTCTCTGCCTCCTTATCATTTAGAACAATGTTTACCTCCACTTCCCTTTTCCCCTTGTGGCTCAATTAGTAAAGAATTCACCTGCAATGTGCAAGACCTGGGTTCAATCCCTGGCTTGGGAAGATACCCTGGAGAAGCAAACGGTTACCCAATCTAGTATTCTGGCCTGGAGAATCCCATGGAATGTATGGGGTCCCAAAGAGTCGGACATGACTGAGAGAACTTCACTTTCACTTCACTTTCAGCTCAGTTCAACCTGTGTTTGTTGAGAATTTCATTGTTGCCATGGATAAGCACCAGGAACACAGAAGATAAATGATTCAAAAACTCTGCCCTCAAGGAGAGTTAGAAGTTAGGCAGATAATGAATTTGAAAACATTTTGTAAATTGAAAAAACATTTCATAAATGAAGGCATTGTTGTTACTACTACTAGTAACAGTAGCAGTTATTATTATTTTACCATGTAGACCTAGATTAGATTTGATGCCTACTTTTTCCCAAAACATCTCCACTAGAAGTACAGAGCCTAACTCAATCCAATTAGCCAGTGTCAAATTGTCAGTTTCAGTCAAGTGATTTAATGATCCTTGTCAGTAACTTTAAAAGTAATTCCTTGCTATTAACTTCAAAGCCAGCAAGTTGGCAACCTGCCTACCTGCTGCCTGCCTGCCAAGTTGCTCCAGTTGTTTCCAAATCTGTGCAACACTATGGACTGTAGACTGCCAGGCTCCTCCATCCATGGGATTCTCCAGGCAAGAATACTGGAGTGGGTTGCCATTTCCTGCTCCAGAGCATCTTCCTGACCCAGGGATAGAACCACGTCTCTTGCATCTCCTGCATTCACAGGAGAGCTCTTTACCAGTAGCGCCACCTGGAAAGTTAGAGACTTAGCGAGTATGCATGCATGTATGCCAGATGCTGATTCTGTATTTCCCCCTTCTACCACTGAAATAGCAAAAAGGACCAACTTGCTAGTTGAGAAAAGGTTTCTCCTTTTCTCCCCTGTGGAAGTCTGCTAAGTGGGTTTATTCTTCTCCATCCCCTCCATCCTCTCCAATTCACTACCCTGGGAAGATTTGATAACTACACATTCTAACACATGCTTTATTTGCATATTGAAAAATCAAAGATGCTTCAAAATGATCTTTCTTATTGTTATTCTTTTTAGAAGCAATATGTTTGAACCAGGTAGCTTTGGAAAACTCATTTCTAGATTTTTGAAATATGTTTGATATCCTACAATCAATAAGCATACAAAAGAATATGAGAGAATCCAGGAAATCCAGCTACTTTCTTAGCTACAAACAAAATCTCGGCTCTCTTTTTCTTCTAGGACAATCCATTCTTTGATCTGCACTTCAAGAAAGTATACAGTTTGGAAGCATATAGTTGTGCTTCAAAATATGCCTTTGCTCGGACTGTAAACAAGCTGAATCATGCATACCTCAAGAAGGACTTACAGATCGTGAACTTTGATTCTACTTACATTAATGATGATTCCATTTGGTCCTCCAACAACAAGGATTGCTTGGTCCTTATGAGAATATGCTTTTATGCCTTCAATCTAGTGTGCTTGTCCCTGTGTCCTCTGCCACTCTGAACACATATACTATGTCCCATCATCCGTGTTCTAGGAAAATGGTTCCCTAAGTAAATATTGATAGTCATGATTTTGTTTTTTTCCCTTTATCGGTGACTATTATCTATATGAAAATAAAGTGATGCTTTGAGAATTGCCGTGAAATGTGCTTTAATGCAGTCATTCAATATTTGGGACTCTTGCCTGTGTGTTCTTTGGTAACTTTGGAAGGAGTTAGATGGTTTTGCCTAAATTAGTATTCTACGAAAGGGTATCAAGAAGTATCTTGAAAGACCAAAATAAGTAGAAATGCATTCCATGTTCATGGATAGAAAGATTTAATATTGTCAAAATGTCAATACTACCCAAAACAACCTAGAGATCAGTATAATCCCTATAAAAATTCCAATGATTTTTTTTTTTTTGCAGAAATGGAAAAGTCAATCCTCAAATTCATATGGAGTTACAAGGGGCCGAACATATTCAAACAATCTTGAAAAAGAAGTACAAAGTTAAAGGACTTACCTCTCCCAGTTTCAAAACTTGCTACAAAGGTACAGTGATCAAAGCAGTATAGTACTGGCATAAGGACAGATATTTAGACCAATGGAATAGAATTGAGAGTTCAGAAAAACTCTTACATCCATGGTCAACTGAATTTTGACTAGGGTATCAAGTTCACTCAAAGAAGAAAAAAAAAAAATCTCTTCAACAAATGGTGCTGGGGCAAAACTAGATATCTACATGCAAAAGAAAGAAACTAAACTCCTATCTCACACTGTAAACATCCCTAAAATGGATTAAAGATTTGACTGTAAAACATGAGAGCATAAAACTTCTAGAAGAAAATGGAGTAAAACTTTAGAACCTTGGATTTGGCAATGGATTTTATGACATTGAAATGAAAATCAACAAAAGAAAACATATAAATTGGACTTCAACAGAGTTCCTTTTGTGTTAAAGAACATTATTAAGAAAGTGAAAAACAAACCTACATAATGAAAGAAAATATTTAGCAATTATATATCTGATAAGGATCTAATACAAAGAACTCCTACAACTCAGTAACAAAAAAACAAATAACCCAATTTAAAAATAGAAAGGAAACTCGAATAGACATTTCTGCAAAGAGGTTGTACAATGAGCACAAGAAAAGAAACTCAGCATTACTATTCACTAGAGAAATGTAAATAAAAACCAAAATGAGATACCACTTCACTACTACTAGAATGGCTATTAAAAAAAAAATACACAGAAAACAAGAAGTGTTGGGAAAGGTGTGAAGAAATTGAAATCCTCTTACATTGCTTGTGGTAGTGTAAAATGCTATAGCCATGGTGGAAAACAATTTGCCTTTTCCTCAAAAAGCAAAACACATAATTACTCAACAACCCAGCAATTTTCCTCCTAGGAATACACCCAGAGGAATTGAAAGCAGGGATTTGAATAGATGTCTGTACACCAATGTTCATTGCAGCATCATTCACAGTAGCCAGAAGATGAAAGCAGCCCAAGTATGCATCAACAAATGAATGGATAAACAAAATGTGGTATATTCATACAGTGGAATATTATTTTGCCCTACAACATGGATGAATACTGAAAATATGTGAAGTGAAATAAGCCTGTCACAAAATGACAAATATTACATGATTCCACTTATATGAAACACCTAGAACAGGCAAAATTAGAGACAGAAATTAGGCTAGAGATTGTCAGGGGCTGGGAGGAAGAAGGAAGGGGATGTTACTACTGAACAGTTACAGCGTTTCTTTTTGTGATGATGAAAAAGTTTTGGAGAGAGATGGTGGTAATGGTACACAACACTGTAAATGTAGTTAATGTTAATGAATTATACCTTTTAAAATGATTAAAATGGCTAATTTAGTGTTATACTTTAGTTTTTAGAAATAGCAATGTAATATGCTAAGAAAAATCCAATTATACACTTTAAATGGGTGAGTTTTATGGTGTGTGAATTACACATCAATAAAACTGTTAGAAAAAAAGAACTACTTTAAGTCTACTAGAAGAAAACATGGGTGAATTTTTTTTATAAACGAAGAGTGGGGAAAACTCCTAGCTATCAGTCAAATTCAGAAAAAAAAGAAAAAAATGATTAACCACATAAATCAAAACCAAACTGAGATGTCACTTCCCACCAGTTAGGATGACTACCAAAAAGACAGGAAATAGCAAGTGTTGAGGAGGATGTGAAGAAAAGGTAACCCTCATGCCCTGTTGGTGGGAATGTAAACTGGCACAAACATTATGGAAGTTTCTCAAAAAGCTAAAAATATAACCAACATATGATCCAGCAATTCCACTTCTGGACATTTAATTACCCAGAAAATGAAAACACAATCACAAAAAGATATATATACCCCCACGTTCACTGCAGCATTATTTGTAATAGTAAAGATATGAAAACAACTATCAATAAATGAATGGATAAAGAAAATGCAAATACATGCACACACACACACACACACACACACACACAAGTGGAATATTATTCACATAAAAAAAGAGATGAAACCTTGCCATTTGCTACAACATGGATGGTTCTCAAGGGCATTATTCTCAGTGAAATAAATCAGACACAGAAAGACAGATACCAGATGATCTCTCTTATAGGTGGAATCTTAAAAAAGGAAGAAAGAAGATATAGAAAATAGATTGATGGTTGCCAGTGGTGTGGAGTGGCTGATAGTGGGAGAAATGGGTGAAGGGGGTCAAAGGTAAAAAGAAAAAATAATTACAATACAGTAAATAAAAATGAAAAATTTATAAAATAAGATCAGCTTTCTGAGTCAGGTAAAGGGAAGGAAAACAAAGGGGAAAAAAAATTTAAAGTATGCATGAAAGTGAAAGTGTTAGTTGCTGCTCATTTGTGTCCAACTCTTTTGAGACCCCATTTTGTATAATTTCTTGCCTTAATTGACTTTTTCAATTATATGGATAGCTGTGAAGAAAGGATCTGTCCCAGGCACCTCTCTTTGGGTTGTAGATAGCTGTCTTCTCCCTGTGTCTTCACATGATCGTCCCTCTTTGCATGTAACTCCATCCAAATTTCCTCTTTTTATGAAGATAACAGTCATATTGGGTTAGAGCCCACATTAATGATCTCATTTTAATTTGATTACCTCTATGAAGAGTTTGGGCTTCCCTGGTGGCTCAGACGCAAAGCGTCTGCCCACAATGCCAGAGACCCGGGTTCGATCCCTGGGTTGGGAAGACCTCCTGGAGAAGGGAATGGCAATCCACTCCAGTATTCTTGCCTGGAAAATCCCATGGACAGAGAACCCTGGTAGGTTACAGTCCTTGGGGTCGCAAAGAGTCAGACACGACTGAGTAACTTCACTTATGAAGAGTTTATGTCCAAGTAAGTCACTTTCTGACATACTGGGTGTTGGAACTTCAACACATGAGTTGGAGAAGGTGGCAGCAGGTGGGGGGGTCTGGGGCACAATTCAACCCATAACACTGAGGAGCTGACTGGAAGACACCTAAGGGGACATAACAACTAAATGCAATGTGCAGTCCTGGATTGGAAACTACAACAGAGAAAGGTTGTTGGTGGGAAAATTGAACAAAGCTAAATCAGATGAGTTAGCTGCATCTCACTCCCTGAAACCAGCTCAACTGTTCAGTTGTGTTTAAAATGGGAAATGCCCTATAGTTAGGACAACAGGTAAAAACACCTTTTATCAAAGTAGGCAGTTCAAATGACAACATGTTTGAAAAATCTCCATCCTATGCCAAGTCTTGCTTTGCCCTCTCCAACTAACAAAAAACTATCAATGTAGCTCATGTGTTTGCTTCTCAGGTAAAAAGTTCAGAATGTAGTCAACAAAAGTGACTGCTTCCCATATTGGAGTGATCTCTTTAATGATCTCTTTAAAGAGAGACTAAAAATAGTCTAATGTTTGGATTATACACTGCAGGCACTAAAGATTTGTGTATTTATTTTCTTGACATGTTATTCTTACTAAAGAAATTAGACCTTTTAGGTTCAGTTCAGTTCAGGTTCAGTTCATTCGCTCAGTTGTGTCCAACTCTTCATGACTCCATGGACCACAACACGCTAGGCCTCCCTGTCCATCACCAGCTCCCTAAGCCTGCTCAAACTCATCTCCATTTAGTCAGTGATGCCATCCAACCATCTCATCCTTTGTCGTTCTCTTCTCCTTTTGCCGTCAATCTTTTCCAGCATCAGGGTCTTTTCAAATAAGTCAGCTCTTCACATCAGGTGACCAAAGAACTGGAGTTTCAGCTTCAGCATCAGTCCTTCCAATGAACACTCAGGACTGATCTCATTTAGGATGGGCTGGTTGGATCTCCTTGCAGTCCAAGGGACTCTCAAGAGTCTTCTCCAACACCACAGTTCAAAAG